TTAAGTTTGATCTTTCAGGATATGTTTTGTCAGTAATCAAAGGGGACTGACATCCCAGGAAGTGGAAAGTATATGGTATAAATACAGACATAGATGTAAACGAAAATGTAGATGTATGAAAATGGGGTTATCTGAAACAGCATGTTCTCTCTGGGGAAGTGCAATTAATTCTGTATAGCTGGATCTTATGTATGAAAAGAAAAGTGGAAGGGAGGAGTCTTGAGGGACAAGCAGAGGCCAACACTCAAAGGGCCTTGTCAGTTAGGCAAAGGAGTTTGGATCTTATTCATGTAGTGGTCTCATGATTTTCTACTCAATGTCAACTTTGCATGACTTCCATCATGTGTTATCCAAGTGGTATGAAGATTGATCCTTGGCTTTCTCTTTCCATGAACATCATACTGTAAATGTGAGTACCAAAACTGCTGCAGACACCTTGCAACCAGCCTGAAGAATGAAACAGACACAAGAGAATTGCAGGGAAATGGTGCTGGGACCACCAGAGTAAGTCAACACTGAAGTCTGCTTTCCTTCTGAACTTCATGGTACATGAGCCAAGAAGCTACCTATTGAATTTCTTTATTTAATTAATTTGACATAAGTTTTCTGTTAAATGCAACATAAACCATCCTAACTCATACTTTTCAGTAGGGAAATAGTATTTTTTTTTCTTTCAGAAAGATCATGCTTGTGATTTGGAAGAGGTGAAACTAGAGGTATGGCTTAGCAGAGAGATAACTGACTCATTCAGAAAAGAGGATGAGAATGTACATTTAAGGTATGTCATGAGTATGGATGGGAAGGAATGGTTACAAGACTATTTAGGTGGTAGAAAGAGCATGATTAATCATTGGATGTAGGGATAAATGAGAAGGAATTTGGAATAATCTCCAGCTTTGGGGAGACTAGCTGAAGAGTAGTAACATTAGAGAGAGAAAAAAAACAGGGTAAAATAATATTAATGGATCCCTTAATAATGGGAGTGCCCATGCCTACTGCTTACTATGGTTGGAGATATTCATCCAGACAGCATACCAAGTACCTGGACACAGGACATGCTCATAACTAACAATAATGTTACTCCACTACTTGTATTCCTCTTCTTTTAAAAAAAGAAAAGTCTTTCCATCCTTCACGATCAAGATCTCAAATGCCCCCTCCCTTGTGAAATATTTTCTGCTTTCCAAAATTAGATGTAGTATTTCATATCATTTCACACTTCCTGATCCCAACCCTGTTCCCATCCTATTCATGAGACAGCTCCAACAACTGCACCCTCTTATCGTGACACCACCTGCAGCTTTACACATGTGATATACACATGCCAGCTTCTTGGCATGCTCCCAATTCCTTCTGCTTTCCAGGAGACAGATAGTTCTTGGGGATTTGTAGGAATCCTGGGGATGCTTCCCCAGATCATTAAGTTGAAGGACTGAGGAAATTCTATCTAAATTTCAGATACTAGCGAGGGCTTCACTGCAACCTGGGGCCAATGAGGCAGCTGAACCATCATTGAATTGCCAGGCAAAGCAATATTTTATACTTGGGAGATGCTATGTTTTGCTTGGGGGAGCCTCCCCTATTCCCTTGCCCTTAATGTACATTCCAGTACTTTAGTTTGTCAAGGGAGCCATGGGACATCTTGAATTCAGAAGACAGACTGATGAAGGGGAGGACACATATAACAGGGAGATCTGAGTGTCAGGAGCTGCCTGAGGCGGGCCCAGCAAGGGGAGCCTGGAGAGGAGAGGAGAAAAAGGGGTTGCTGACGGCATACGTCACTAAGCACCTACTATGTGTATGGAACCATGCTAGCTGGGCACCAGGGGGTCGGAAGATGCATCTGGGCTTGAGGCACTCAAAGCTTAGAAAGGGAGAGAGACAAAAAGGAGATTAATTTGAAAACAACAAGAAAAGCACAATAGTCCTGGCATGAAATAGGTACAGGAGTGACATGAAATTGAAGTGAATGCTTTTTTTTTTCTTGAGTGTAGAACTGAAGCGAGTTTTCTGTTTTAATCAAGCATGTGATTAACCAACTGATAGAAAGAATGCAAAGTGACGTGCTTAGATGCTTTGTAATTTCTTCACGCACTATACTTTAAAACAGTAACAAAAACCATAGTATTCATTGATGCGTCTTTGTGTTGGGCACCTTACTTAGAATATTTTGAGGAATTTATTACGTGTTTTCTTTTTTCATTACTGCTTCTTTGAGGTATGAATGACATACAAAAAGCTGTGGATATTTAATACTAGTGCCCTAAGCTTATCCGTCACCTCCAAAATTTTTCTCCCACCTCACCTTTGAAATAAAAACACAGAAGCTTTAGCCTCTTAGCAACTACATAAACCTTTTACATATACAATGCACTATTGTTAATCATAGGCCCAGTGCTATGCGGATCTCCAGGCTTTATTTATTTTGCGTAACTGAAATTCTGTACCCTTTGACTAATATCTCCCTTTCTCTACCGTCTCCCCATCCCCGGCAGCCACCATTCTACTCTCTGCTTAGATATAAGTGAGATCATATAATATTTATCTTTCTGTGTCTGACTTATTTCATTCAGTATAGGGTTCTGCAGGTCTATACATGTTATTGCAAAAGGCAGGATTTCAGAAGTGACTACTTTTGATGGAAAATCAGGGAGACTTTATGGAGAAGAGGGTATTCAATGTTTTATATTGTATAGATGTGCAGGTTGTAGACTGCACTGAATGGCATCCCCCTGGAATGTGCAAGGCACCACCTGCATAGCCAAAGGCAGTGTCTGTGTGAATGCCTGGATCTCAACAAATGAAATTTCCTGAATTTCCTGTTTGTTGACAGCAGCAACATGCCCATATCCTCAGCCTTGTAGTCCCTTGCCCGCAGAATAATCTCAGTCTAGAATTTGCTCCCCTCCACACTTCCCAACCCTTCCCTTAGGAGTCTTTACTCATTTATCTCTGATGAAATATTGTTCCCTTTTGTACACCTATGTTCATAGCAGAATTATTTACAACAGCCAAAAAGGGAAAAGCAACCCAACCCAATTGTCCACTGACGAATAACTGGATAAACAAAATGTGATGTATCTCACACACACACACACACACACACAATGGAACATTATTCAGCCTTAAACAGAAGAAAATTCTACAACCTGGATGAACCTGGAGGGCTTTAAGCTAAATGAAATAAGCCAGTCACAAAAGAACTAATACTGTATAATTCCACTTATCTGAGGTACCTAGAGTAGTCAAATTCACAGAGACAGAAAGTAGAATGGCGGTGGCCAGGGACTCAGGTGGGAGGAAAAATGGAGAATTATTGTTTAATAGGTACATAGTGTCTGTTTTGCAAAATAAAAAGAGTTCTGTGGATGGATGGTGGTGGTGGAACACAATGCTGTGACTGTACTTAATGCCACTGAACTATATTCTTAGGAATCGTTAAGATGGTGAATTTTGTAAGTATTTTATCACAATCGAATATTATTAAGGACATTAAAAAATAGTTTTCTTGGAAAGCCTTCCCTAATCCCCCGTAGCAGTTAGGGCCCTCCTCATACAACCGTGCACCGCACCACAGTTCCTCCAACATATTACCTGTCACATTCTGTTGGAATTTCTATTGCATTGGTCGCCGTCTAACGATGTTTAGCTTTTTACGAGAAACATATACGTGAATGTGTTTTATCCACCAAAATCAACTTCCTCTTTGGGCACACAGCTAGATTACTTTGTCAAATGCTCTCTCACTTAAGTATGGCTGTAATAACCATGTTCTCCTTAATAAAGTTTGGTCCAAAATAATGTATGCCACTTCTAGGCTTGGTCCAAGGACTCTCCCATGTGTGTTCTTGGAGCTCACGTTCCCCGGATGGCAGTGTTGATGCCAAGGGTGCCGTGGGGAGCCATGTGTTGAAGATGCAAGGATCAGTG